AGGGTTGACATGTCATGGGGTTGTTAACCAATGTCATAAAACAATATGTGTACTACTGTTTAATGAGAAACTGTTTGTTCTGTAAACCTTCCCCTGAAGTACAATTAAAAAAAAAAAAGAATACATCTTGTGGCAGACAGCACAACTTTTTGGTAAAATATTGCCAAGTATGGGGATTTAACTTAACTTTCATGTTAATGTGTGTTTTGATGACATTAAGACAGTGCTATTCAAAGTGTGGTCCACGCACTGCGTTTTACCAGTTCATCGTAAAAAAAGTACAAAAAACAAGAAGAAGCTTTTGGAAACCTATAGCAATCTGACACGATCACAACATTCAAGCACATGATGAGTGGACTCTGCAGAATAAGGTATTTATCAGTTTGGTTGTTATTAACTTAGGTGGTAAACCTCATGGCACAAGCTGAGTACCAGGCATGCACAGTAGGACCCCATATATATATATATCCGTCTTCAACAGATTGGAGGAAAAAAAGAAAACTTGGGTCCTTCATCACAAGTAGTTGAGAGCCGCTGATGTAACTTATCTGGGACTCAGCTTCTTCTGAGAACATGAGGGTTTGACAAGCACTCTAAGAGTTCTTTCTTTGCTAACATTCTCTGACACTGTAAACTCCTGGTAACAGATGACGTGAAGTAATGTTAAAACAAAAAATATATAAACACACACACACATAGAAATTGATGGAGTGACAAGTAAGAAAAAGTAGGTTACGGTATCAACTCTCCCCACATATATTACTGATGCACCACCATGGTGACTACATAACACCATGCTGAGTAGGTAACACTGAATTACACTGTTATTCTAGCCTTTTGTCTTTGTTATTCCAAGCTTTTATCTATGGAAGTATACTTCCATCAGGCTTCAAAATCAACTCTGTTGGAATATAACTGCTACATAATGCAAAAGATACTAATACAAGAGAACAATGATACAAATTATTTTACCACCATTTAGCTACTAGAATATTTCTTATTCCAGCAGCTTAAAGGAAGTTATAAAAACTAGTTTTTAAACCTTAACGTATTCGTGAAGTTGTATCTCTGTTGTTAGGAAGAATTAAATTTTTCCAGACCATATAAAAATATGCTAATTTAAACTAAGCACAAGTGGCAACTATATAATCAAAGTCTTCTTAGCCTTAGCTTGTCTAACAGTTTCATAAGAAATTGGAAAAGCATGAATTTCATGACAGTTCCTCCCCTAAACATGTATCACTACCATATACACTACTTCACAAATCCAGCGACAGAAAATTAATAAACTAATACAATGAGATGAGGAAGACAGGGAGACTAAAGATGGGAAGTGAAGAAACCTAATTTGAATAACTACAGAAAGAGAATGAGACCCACAAAAATAGTAACACTAGTACTGAAAATGAATGTAAAGAAAAACACATCTGTGGTCTACTTTTTAACTCAAACACAAACGTTAAACTTCTAGGATTATATCATCAAATGAAAAAAGCAGAAAAATTTATTTTACAGTCACTACTACATGTTATATATCAAATGCTAAGGCTAACCAATAACTAAGTAGGCCACCTGCGGGGCAGCATTTAAACGTAACCCTAACTTTAATAGTGTTAATTTGGCAATAAACTGCCAAACTACTGAGATGGTTTGTAGTTTTTAGTGTAATCACTTAGTTTCTTCTATATGTATAGTTAAACGTTTCTAATTTTGTCCCTAATGCTATTCACATGTGTATTCTATTTCTTGATCAGAGTTGGCAAGAGTTTCTTTTATTCATCTTTTTCAGATTCCTTTTCAGCTCTAGCCTTTATTGAAAAGACTACTTCTATTAAAGTAAATTCTGTTTAATCCCTATCTTCCACTGTCACAATGTTTATTCTTTTTCTGGTTTCTTAGGATGAAAATAAGTTCACTTAGATTCATTCTTTCTTGGTTTCTAATAAATGCATTTAAGGCTTGAATTTTTCCTCTAAATACCACTTTGGCATCATTCCAGAGATTCTGGAAAGCAGTATTCCAATTATTAATTTAAAATAATTTGTAATTTCCATTTTGTTCTCTTTAAACCAGAGTTACAAAGAAATGTTTTTGTTTTTTAATAGACAGATGGATTTTTGCCACTAACATCTAATTCTGTTGTATTATTTTGGGGGCTTCTAGTTTCCAATAAAGATGCAGCCCTGGTGGTGCAGTGGTTAAGAGCTCGGCTGCTAATCAAAAGATGGGCAGTTCGAATCCACTAACCCTGCTGCTTGGAAACCCCATGGGGCAGTTCTACTCTGTCCTATAGGGTGACTACGAGTCTGAATTGACTCAACAGCTATGGGTTTGGTTTGTGTTTCAGTGCCCAATAATGGTGAAATAATTAACCTCTTCTTGTTTAAGATTAATGAAAAGTGCTGTATAAAACTTTAAAAAAATAAAAAAGCAGTAATAATCTGCAGTGGGAAACTCCAGGTCAATTTCTGGATGAAAGCCAATAACCAGAGAGGTAAATGGAATATCTAAGTAAAAACAAAGCCACTTACACTGATTAACACACATTCAGGATCTAGTTTAGTAGCCAAATGGGGGGAGAAGGACATCATTCGAAGCCCAGGGCAGCCCAAGGTACAGTCTCTGGGGAGATCCTTCCGAAGTTAAGATGAGACCCAGGCTACTACTAAACAATTCTTTTCATTCTTGGAATAAGCAGATCTAAATCCACCGCCCTTGCTCCAAATGGGGAATGCAGAGAGATCAGAACAAGATAACAAAAAAAGGAGTGAGGAAAATCATCTCTGAGAAGCTGATGAAACCAACTCCAGGGAAGATCTGCACCACAGACAGATAGGGCAGATCAGGGATCTTTAAGCTCAAGGCAACTAAAAACTAGAAAAAATATATGAAATATCTGTTTTAAGACACTGGACAACAGGCAATGAACAGCAGGACTATAATGTAAGAGAAAAGAAATGAGAGATGAGAACCATGATTGCTCCGGCTTCCTGCTTTTCTGTACTTACTGGACCCTGGCACTGGAAGGGAGGTACTAAGCAGAGCATAACACAATGAGCTGAGGAGACAAAGATCAAAATGTTGAAGAGGCTGAGGCAAAGGGACAAAAAAAAAAGACGACACACTTCAAGAAGCCAATCAAACTTACAAATCTTAGTCTTCTGGGCTATCCTGAAAGTCACCCCTTTCAATGAAATATTTCAATATGATTATGTTCTTATGGAATGACTAGAAACCAATTTTTAAAATATGACTAAATGTTTAAAATCCATTAACAAAAATTCACATAGATTCTGACCAAAGCTAATGTTAAGGTCATTTACCTTTCCATTCCTATTTCTTAAAGTATATTAACTATATAAAAAGTAAGAGTAATATATATATACAATACATATATATAAGTATATATTATATATTCTAAATATATATTATACATTATATGTACACAATATAGGAGCCCTGCTAGCACAACGGTCAAGCACTTGGCTGCTAACCAAAAAGTTAGCGGTTCAAATCCACCAGTGACTCTGTGGGACAAAAGACCTGACAATCTGCTCCAGTAAAGATTACAACCTAAATTTATGTTAATGGCGGAGGAATAACTCAGAAAAGAAGGGTGAGAATGGTTACACAACTCGAAGATTGTAATCAATGCCACAAAATGGTGCATGTAGAAACGGCTTAGTTGACGTATGTTTTGCTGTGTATATTCTCAACAACAAAATAAATATTATAAAAAAAAAAAAAGATTACAGCTTAGGAAACCCTAGGGGACAGTTCTACTCTGTCATATAGGGTTACTACGAGTTGGAATAGACTTGATGGCACACAACAATAAAACATACAATATATAACTGTCAATTTATAAACTATATTAACACTTAAATAGACCTAATCTTTTTTCACTCAATTAAATATGTATTACAATGTCACTAGATTTAAAAAAGAAAAAAAAACAATTGAACAAATGCATTTCTTCTGAGATTTATTATAAATCCTCAGGTAAGGAAGTTGAAAGGTAGATTATTTCTTAATTTTTAGGTATCTAAAGCACATCTCTGCTTTCTCAAAATTCTGTGGTAATGAACACAAGCGCTCTTTGAAATGGTAAGTAGAAAAGAAAGTTTAAATCATATAGAAAACCATTAAAGAGAAAGCAAATTCTATATTTAAGGCTAGATATTTGCATTAGACCCGAGGGTCATTAGACTTTAAAGTCCTTCAAAACAAAAATGCCGTAGTGCTACCTAGCCTAATAGTTCGTTCACTACACTGTAACTGTGCTATGGCTGCTTATCAAAACAATAAAGCCCAGAGAATATAAAAATAATAGATTTTCAGAGTTAGAGAAGACTTTTCAATAATATAATAGTTCAGAACAAAGGCTTTGGAGACAAAAGACTTACCCATGAATCCCAAATCTACTACTCATAGTTGATGACTCTGAACAAGTTACTTAAGCTCTCTAAGCCCCAGATTCCCCAAATGTACAATGGGGATAACAATATCTGCCTAGAACAGTTGCAAGGACTCAACAAATAAGTAGCTATTATCGTCAAAGCCAAAATTTCTCAGTCATTTTAACCCATAACCCCTTTTCATAAATATAAAAAATTCTGTTTTGTACTGGAAAATTAGATCCCCTCCCAAACGTAATTTTGAACGCATTTTTCCAATTACACGCCATCCTATCCAATCCATTACCTCTCTACTCCTAATCTCCTTAAACTGTGAGTACTACTGATCTCTCCACCTCCTCAGACGAGAAAACTAAGGGCCAACCCGAGCAGTCAAGTGCCTTAACTAATGTCATACAGCTAATTAACAACAAAGCCAAGGGTAGACCCTGACTCCCAAGTGCAGTGTTCTCAGCACCTCATTAGGACATTTTAAAGCACAAAGCTACATATAATATCAGCTGAAGCTTATAGATTATTGTAAATCCACTTATTATATGCATGGGGAAAAACTGGACACAAAGCTATGTTTGGAGTATTTACCTTTCTACATGCAGGACAAAGCCCATTTTCATCAGTGCGAATTCGATGCCAACAAAATCGGCAAATCTGGTAGCCACAGGTGCAAGGGAAAAAGTTGATGTCATCTATCTCCAGGGGCTCCATGCAAAGAGGGCATTCCACAGGGTCTTCCTTCGCATCAGGACTGCGAGACATCTTCACGTTTATTAAACAGCAGCAAAAGTTTATAATAATTTAAGGGAGAAGGAAGTTCAGCACTGAGAGCTAAAATGGAGACTTTGAAGACCTGTGTGAGAATAAACAAAACATACTGTTTACTACTGGAGAAAGAATGGCATATTCAACAATCTAAAATCACGTTATCAAAAATTCTGAATATTAATCTCAGCAATTTTATTCTGTCATCTCAGAATGGATTTCCCTTTTCCTATCAACAAGTTACTTTCTTCTGAAATTTTTGCATGCCAAGATAAGAAGCCTGGCACTGTAAATTTTTTGGATTCAGTAGAAAGATAAAAAAAGACCTTCCTTTTTGTCCAGATAATACACTTAGTATTAACCTAACACTAATCATAATACATTTTAGGGGAAGCAAGAAGAAAAAGAAGCTTCTGCCTTAAAATATACTATAAACTGCCTCATCTTCGACCTAAAAGCTAGTGATACTGTCACATAACTGAAGGAGTATTATAGTATTCTAAAATCTGCCACAATTTACAAAACACACCTAATGAAAAAGAGGCTTCATTCATTTATAATCAGATATTAACATTAAAGCCTTATAGAAAACACAGCCTAGAGGCGGGGAAAAAAAAACTAATACACTTGCCACAGAAAAGTCTGGGAAAGTAAACACATAGTAAGCAAAATAAAAGTATTTGCGTGGTAAAGCTACAAAAGGCCCACAAGAAACAGGAAGGGGGAAGAGAACAAATAGACTTCCACACTCCCAAACACATTACAAAAAGTTAAATAATATATCTTTTTAGATTATTGAGAATTTAAAATTTTTAGGTAAAGATTTAGGTTAAAATCATTGTTAGATTTAAAGGTTAGGTTGCAATCACTATTTTAGCTTAAAAAATGATTATGTCCAAACTAATCTATAACTCAACGCAATCTTCACCAAAATTACAGAGGTATTTTTAAAATGAAATTTGGAAAAATGATTCTAATGTTTAACAAAAAGAGATAATGAATGAGAACAGCTTTGAAGGTTCTAGCGGGGAAAAACTGAGAATTTTGTACAACAAAGCTAAAACAAGTTAAATATTTTTATACTAGCACAAGAATAGATAAAAGACCAAAGAAAGAAACTAAATAAAGGATCTAGAAACAGATCCATGAGATTTTAGTATTTGATAAAAGTGACATTACAAATCAATATGGAAAGAATGGACCAGTTTATAAGTAGTAATGAGACACTGGACTATCTACTAAAGAAAAAAAAACCAGTATATATCTGTGTCACATTGCAATCAAAATAAATCCCAAATGATCTGTCTGAAAGAGCTAAATATCAAAATAAACTATAAAAAACATCTGACAAAAAACAATGGAGCTTTTTTTTTTAAACCATAGGATTAAAAAAGGTCTTCCTAAGCAAAACAAATACATGGTTTTGAGTTTAGGAACCTGTTGAATAGATATATATAAAAACATACCATATACATTTAAATACAGTATATAATAAGCAATACTTTTGCAAAATTTTTAAAAAGTATTTACTTGCCCTATTTAAATTAATCCTTTTTAGCAATCTAATAGTTGAATTTCAAAGAAGTTAAATGCATGTATGATGCAACTCCACTGAATACAGTTACATATAAATTACACTCCTGAATACACTATACACCCAAAGCTACATGAACACTGTAATTATACATAATTGAAAGCTATTTATAGAAGTGAATATATCGTTGTATTAAAAGGTAGGCTAAACAAGGGCAGGGATTTTTGCCTGTATGGTCACTAAAGTATCTGAGTGCCTAGACTAGAATTTGAAACATAGTAAGAGCATAAGGAACATTTATTGAATGACTGAAGGAAGAACTGTTAGAAAGGCAAAAACTTTCATCAGTCAGCCTTCAGAAGATATTCCTAGTAAAGTCAGGATCTTCTTAAAGAGAATAATAAGTGATATTAGTGTATTGGAGTCCCTAGATGGCACAAACAGTTAAGTGATCAGCTACTAACCAAAAGGTTGGCAGTGTGAACCCCACCCAGAGGTGCGTCAAAAGAAAGGTCTGGTAATCTCCTCCTGAAAAGTCACAGCAATGAAAAGCCTACAGATGGACTGCAGTTCTACTCCAAAACACATGGGGTCATCATGAGTAAAAATCAACTCAATAGCACACAACAACAACCCTTAAAAAAAAAAACTAATCATGTTACGTTCTGCCTACTATGCCTTACATAGCAGATGTATTTCCAGATATGTTTAAATTAAATATTATTTTTATTTGAAATATTTCAAATGTGTGCGGAAACACTTTTATTTAAAGGAAACAGAATACTATGGTCCTGGATGCCCTCAACCCAGCTCCCTCGTACATAAGTCCTATGCTGGGAAACTCAATCCGAGAAGATCTGAAACTACTGTACCCACCTCCAATGTGCACTCAGCTTCTATTTGGGTGTCACACGGAGAAGTGCACCACTGTCCCCACTCCAACTCCAGAGCCAAATATTTTGCCCAGGAAGTGAAGCAGACCTTAAAACAGACAGCTCTGAATCCCTTCCAAAAGGAAATGACTTCATTTGTAACAGAGTGTGAAGATGTTCAAGCCTAAAGGCACTATCAAAATCATTGCGGTTGTGCTGAAAGGCAACTGGGAGGATACTAATAGATTCACTGGACATACAGGCTAAGCTGTAGGGCTGGCTACTTTACCAGAGAGAATATGGGAAACAGCAGCTAGGAGGAGCCTTCCTGGGGTCTGAACCAACCTCAAAGACTGACTTGAGGAGGCATCGCTTTCACGTGAGGCTGAATTTGATTGGACCAGTTGTGAAGCAATTTATGCCCAAGGGAATTATCGAAAAACATCAGAGCAATTAGCTGGCAATTAGTGGTCAGGGAGAGACATAAAGAGAGCTCTGCCAAATCCACTGTCATCCCAGGGTGACTGTGGGCATACTCAAGACTGTCCTATGAGGAGCAATGCAGGGGGGAATTAGACGTCACTAAAATAATCCAGTAAGTTACTAAATAAGCAAATAACAAGAACAAGCCCCAGAGTTGAGGTCCCAGTACTCAGAGTCGCTACATTATATAAAATGTCCAGTTTCCAACAAAAAATTACAGGACACGCACAGAGACAGGAAAGTATAACGCATACTTCAGGAAAAAAAAAGCGGAAAACAGAAACTGCCCGTGAGAGCAACCAGATGTTGGATATAACAGAAAGACGTCAAAATAGCCATTATAAAATATGCTCAAAGCACTAAACAGAACCGTGATTAAAGAAGTAAAAGAAAGCATGATAACAATGTTACAACAAAAAGAGAGTATCAATAAAAAAGTATAAATTATAAAAAAAGAACCAAATGGAAATTTTGGAGTTATAGTATAATAGCTGAGAAAAAGTTCACCAGATGGGCTCAACAGTAGATTTGAACTGGTTGAAAAAGGAATTAGCAAACTGGAAGACAGAGATTATCCAATCCAAAAAAAAAAAAAGAGGTAAAAACTATTTGTAGATGACATGATCTTGTATATAGAAAATCCTAAGGAATCCACTAAAAAAACTATTAGAACTAATAACTTTATCAAGGTTGCAAGATACAACATCAAAATATAAACATCAATTATATTTCCACATGCTTGTAAAGAAAAATCAGAAAATGAAATTAAGAAAACAATTCCACTTACACTAGCATCAAAAAGAGCAAAATAATTAAGAATAAATTTAACAAAAGAAGTACAAAGCTTATACTCTGAAAACTACAAAATACTGTTAAAAGAAGTTAAAGATCTAAATAAATGGAAAAATATCCTATGCTCATAGATCAGAAAATTTAATACCAAGATGGCAATGCTCCTCAAATTGATCTACAAATTTGACACCATCCTTATCACAATCCATATGGAATTGCAAGGAACCAAGAATAGACAAAAAATCTTTCAAAAGAAAGACAAAGTTGGAGGACTCACACTGTCCAATTTCAAAGCCTACTACAAAGAAAGCAACAGGAATCAAGATAGTGGCAATGGTATACAGACATACATAACAGATCAATGGAATAGACTAGAGAGTCCAAAATTAAACCCTTACATTTATGGTGAAGTGATCTGACAAGGTGCCAAGTCCATTCAATGGGGACAGGATAGTCTTTTCAGCAAACGGTGCGAGCACAATTAGCCACATGCAAAGGAATAAAGTTTGATCTTTACCTCACATGATATATAAGAACAAATTCAAAACAGATCAAAGACCTAAATGTCAGAGCTAAATCTATAAAACTCTTAGAAGAAATCACTGGGGTAAATCTTCATGGCATTGAATTTGACAATGGAATCTTAGATATGACATCAAAAACATGAACAACAACAAAAAAGCAGGTAAACTGGACTTCATCAAAATTAAAAAATTTATGCAAAGGACACTATCAAGAAAGTAAAAAGACAACCTAAAGAATGATAAAAAAAAATTTGCAAATCATATATATCATAAGGGTCTAGTGTTTGGAATATATAAAGAATGCTTACAACTCAATAACAAAAAGACAATACAATTTAAAACATAGGTAAATAATTTGAGTAGACATTTCTCTAAAGAAGATATAAAAATTGCTAATGAGAATATGAAAAGATGCTAAACATCATTAGTCATCAAAAAAATGAAAAAAACCAACAAAACAACTTAAAACCAACAAGAAGGCCAAAAACAAAAAAGCAAAAAAGAAAGGGTGAAAAAGATGTGGAGAAACTGGAACTCTCATACACTGCTGGGTAGGGAATATAAATTGGTCTAGACACTCTGGATAACAGTCTGGCAGTTGTTCAAATCATTAAACATAGTTAGCATATAACCAACCAACTTTACTCCTAGGTATACATCCAAGAGAAATGAAAACATCCGTCTACTCAAAAACTTACATACAAATGTTTACAGCAGCATGATTCATAACAGCCAAAAGGTGGAAACAACCCAAATGTTCATCAACTGATGAACAGACAAATATTATTCAACCATGAAAAGAAGTACTGATACATGCTACCACACGGATGAACCTTGAAAACATTACGCTAAGTGAAAGAAGCCAGTCACCAAAGATCACAAT